AATAAGAAACAGAAGCATTCGAATTGTGTGGCTACAAATGACTCAAGTAGTTCTCATAGCGAATATGATAATTGAACGTCCCTCTATTCAGAAATAATTTCTAAACAATTAGAGTACAAGAAAAGAAAAAGCTCTAAAATGATAGCAAATTAGCAATTTTTCCTTTTCAGATCGGTTTCTTGGGAATCTTGTTCGGCTTTTTTGGTGTTATCGTCGTTCGAAAGAACTCAATTCTGAACGGTTTTCAAGAGAAAACGAAACTAATTTGCTTTTCATTTGAAGGCATCGTCGAACATTGTGCTTTCATCGACTTATTCCAACTGACACTCATCAATTTCTGTCATCTCTTTTGGGCGGTGCCGTGCGCTATTTGGTGAGCACGAGAGTAGTTTCGGTGTTTGGGGAAGCTGATTGACACATTACTTTCTAGGACCCTCAATGAAGCGCTCCCATTTCTCGATCATTTCTTTGCGGGTTTTGCCATGTGTGCACCGGCGATCAGTTTCCCGCCAAAGGTATTCTCTTTATGCAATTGATGGCTCTTGACACTCATTTGAGACTTTAAAAATATTTAGTAACGGGGGTTGAAATATATGAAATATTATTGTTAGTTTTTCCCTGATACTTTTCAGCTTTTACTCGGCATCAATCGCTTTTGTGCCCTTGCATTTGATGGCCGTTTTTATAAAGACTTCGAAAAGACAAAACCTTTTCAATATGCAATCATCCTTGTCTATCCACTGATGTCAGCCATCGTTTGGAGTATTCGTGAGCACCCTAATAATATTAAATGATCATTCTAGCATAAGCTAAAAGATTAGATTGACAACTTGAAAGTTGGTACACTTATTCATTGCACTTTTTTGAAATAACTAATGCATCAAAATTAATCTACAGTTTTTACCAATAAAAAGGTCTATTTATCCTCTAAAAGAGGCTTTTGACAGATTTTAAAATGCTTCGATTTTGTAGATTTCTAGGGGGCAAGAAGTTGAGGAATCAAAAGTGATGAACACTCGATGAAGCGATTTGAGCACTTTCTTCCACATAAACCTATTTTGATGTTAGTAGAAAAAAGATAGAGCATGAAAAGTTAGGCATATAGCCAAATTCTCAACTCGATTTTTCTAATTACTTTAGTTATATGTCTGTTTGAAGGATTTTCAGAAAAACTTGAATTTCTGCTCAAACTCGTTTCAAAAGTTGTCCAAATTTGCTTAAGGGTTTCTTAAATTAGATAATATATAACTTTTATTTAGAGAAGTCTAATTGAATTGGCGTATTGAATATGTTTTCTGAGAAATACGAAAAAGTGTACCAACTTTCAAGTTGCCAATCTTTCATAGCTTTCGTTTCAGCTGGCTGTCGATGTATTTTCATTCCATACGGCCAAAATTTCTTTTATGTCGAGGGTGATTGCGGAGAAGTGATGATTTACTGGTCACAAGTCAGTTTTTCTCAATTCTCCTAGGTATGGAGCGAAAAAAAAACGTCAACTCTTTGAGAATATAATCGGTTGGATTGTGCTCGTTTTTGCCACATTTATCGACTTTTCGGTTTTCTTTATGATGCACAAGAGGGTGCGAGCCTTTCGAGAGGTGCAAACGGTCACCAGTCGACAAAAGGGCGAACAGTTGAGAAAAGAGTTCAAATTGGCTATTCAGGTGGGTATTTTATACGAAAGAGAGTCGGTAATCGGTAGATTTCAAAACACGGGCATCGGTTTGGTGCTCGTTCGGATCAGGATAGAATCTGGCCTTCAGAAAGTTGCAGATGGTCACCAATTTATGCACCGGTTTCATCTTGACCATTTCGATTGCCGTCGCCGGCGAATATGTGACCACGTCGTCGCTGGCCGCTTTCGTTCTCTTCACGGCCGAATGGCAATTTTGCACGCTAATCACCTGGTACTCGTGCTCACTAAAATATAAAATTTATTTCTATAATGAATAGAGACTTTCTTAGATAGGCCCTCCCCTTCATCTCCCGTTTCAATCAATGGAGTCTGACTAGCAGAATTTGATGAGAATCTGTCTATAAAAATGATTGCATCGATAAGTTTTCAGCAGCATCCGTTTATCTATACAGAGCTCATGTTCTGTGTATTAAGCAGTATGACTCAAATCTAGAAATAAATTGAGCTTTTCCCAAGAAATTTACAGTTAACAGCTCTCGTTTTTAGCCTTTCCTATGTGATTCTGCTACGAGAGAGGAAACCGAAAGATATTGGGATCATCATTTCTGTCTCAAGCAACAACTGACATTAGATAAAGAGGCAAAGAGAAAGTTTGTGAGATGGAAAATACAAAGTGACCGAACACATCTAAGCTTTTTTTTCTTTGATGATTTAAATAAATATTATCGTATAAACACAAAAGAGTTAGTTGACAAGAAGCGAAAATGTTTTTCGAAAATGTTTTTCCAAAAAATTCCAAAATGACTTTTGAATCGTTTCTCGGAAAAGTTCTGCTAAAAGCTAAAAGGAAAAGGCTTTTGTGCGTTCTCTCGGCGAAATTTTTTTTTCAAACACAAACGCTCCCTATCTGACGCACGCCATTTTCATAAGACCCTGTTTTGGCCTCGATTCGGTGGCTAGTGAAGAAAAAACCCTGTCAAAAAGGAAAATAAGTCCTCTCTGTTCGAGAGAGGCACTTGGAAACACACAAAAATCCATCCCACCCACCAAAATACAATTCGACAATAACGAATACTACAATGCCATCCATATCTATAGGACACCCCAGAAAACGGCTTCTTTTTCCGCTAGTTTACTCCCATAGTAGATATGGGCTTCGGATCGGACCAAATCGGCTTAGAAAGACGAGGCTCCCCACTCACCGCTCCCCATTGTCGACGATTAATTTGACAAACTTTTTCTACGAACTTTCTTGCCAACCTAATACATATATAGATGAACGAGGGTTAACTTTGTTAGCTCTTCACCTGCAAAAAAAAGCTTGAATGCTTATTTACAGAGTGAATCAGATCAAGTTTTGTTCAAGACATTCCATTGCTTTCATCATATCGGGCGATTAATTGCAGTTGCGCCTTCTTCGAGAAGAGTCTCACATGGGAGCTCAGTCGGAGGAGCAACAACACTTGAGGCGGATCTCAACAAGATGAAGAAGTACTGCACCAAGATTCGAGTCATTGCTCATACTCAGGTATAGTTTACCTTTTATCATTACGAATAACAATGTAATGGGCAATGACGATAGGCTGATGCCTACAATTGTGAGGATTTTCATATCAGTCAAATGTTGCCTTCCTTCTGAGCTCGAAATTTATTTATTATTATTAATTTGGTTCGGAAAACCCGACTATTGTTTCTTTTTAGCAAAAGTTGTTGAAGAAGCGTGATAAGAAGGCACACATCACGGAGATTCAAGTTAATGGAGGAACTATTGAGGACAAGTTTAACATCTTGAGACCCAAGTCCCAGTCGATAGTGTCTTTTCCAAAGATGAGCTTATCGACATCATTGGAGTCACCAAAGGACACGGATTCAAGGGAGTCACAAGCCACTGGCACACCAAGAAGCTTCCCAGAAAGACCCACAAAGGTCTCCGAAAGGTAAATTTGCATAAAATAATACCATTTTATTGTTCTTTTAGGTCGCTTGTATCGGAGCTTGGCATCCATAACGTGTATAATTCACGGTTGCTCGTGCCGGTCAGAAAGGATATCATCATCGTACTGAAATGAACAAGAAAGTCTACCGCATTGGCCGCTCATGTGAGCCCCTGGAAGGCAAAAACAATGGAGAACAAAAAAAACAAAAATTTGATGTTACCGAGAAGACGATTAACCCTATGGTGGGTTTCTATTTTAAAATGTTTTTATCTGGCAATGATTTGTAAGTTAGTGGCCCTACACATTTGTGAGGAAACAATACACTATGAACTAGAGTGTGTTCCTCGCGAGTAAGTAATTACTCGAGTAAATTTGCACGAGTAATTTTTTACTCGAGTAATAGCTCGAGTAATTGTCGAGTAATGCGTTTTCTAAAAAGGTGCGCCTGCACGAAAAAAAAACTATAAAAGCAATTTTTTGCGCAGGTTTTTCAAAAAATAATCCTTTTTTACATTGGAAGGGAATTTCCCACAAATTCAGGAAGGGAATTCAGTTAAACGGCTGAATATCTTTAAAAAGTGTCGTATATAATGCGGGGCTCGTCATTTTTTGCCAAATTTTGCCAATAAAGTACGGTAATTTTTTCCCAAATGTGCGTTTTAAAAAACGCATTACTCGCGAGGAACACACTCTACTATGAACTGAGCCGTAAAAAGATTATTTCACTTAAATATACACTTATATGTTTTCTTTAGGGAGGCTTCCCTCATTATGGAATGGTCAAGCAAGACTTCGTCATGATTCGTAGATATTGCCTTCGAACGAAGAAGAGACTAATCACGCTCCGCAAATTGCTCTACACGCACACAAAGCGCTTTGCTTTCGAGCAAATCAACCTGAAGTGGATTGACACCTCTTCCAAATTCGGACATGGACGTTTCCAAACTGCTGCCGAGAAGAAGACCTTCATGGGGAAACTCAAGAAAGCTTTCCTCACCGAAAAGGAAGACGTTCATCTTTAAGGATGATTTGTTATGTTTGAAATAGATTGTTTCATCCATAAAAGGTCAGTGTTTTCTGAGATTTCACAAAAAAGATACTGTCTCTTTCAACTTTTCCAAATAACCAGCAGACAGAGACAAAACATGTTAGGCGATTTCGAGGTCATTCGTCCCCAGACACGTCATATCCACGAAAATAAACGAAAGACGATGAACTTGGTGTGTTGATCTCTCAATGATTAGAAAACACAAAAAAGGACTTTATTTTCTTGGACTCTGCATATCATGACTGTATGTGAGAACTGTTTGTAAACACGAGTGAAATTCGGTGAAATCCCCCATTTATTTTCGGTATAAATAAAAGTTGAGTGCACATTCAAGAAATCCAATTGTATATCTAACTGAATTACGCTTACTGTATTGAGAATGATTTCCACGAAAGTCTTGGCTCTCTTTTTGGTGCTTCTCGTCGCCGTTTGTGTTTATGCTGAAGAAGAAAGTGAGCATGGATTAGAAGCGACCGGACACGAGAAAACGTGCGTTTCGAAAGCTGATTTGATACGGGTTCACCATTGGTGAATTGAAATTTGAAGTCAAAACTACTCGTTTCTAACTTGACAGTACTTGATGATTGATCTTATAACACATTCTTCATTTCAGATTGATCCGAAATCGCCGATGGTGGCCATGGGGAATGGGCGGAATGGGATATGGGTGAGTGCTATTTTTTAACTATGGAAAATAGTTAATCACTTAAAAGATATTCAGTTCTCTGTGATTTCTATTTGAGACTAAATTGACAAAGTTGAAAAATCGTAAACGCAAATTGATTTCATTGATTTTCAGAATGGGTATGTATCCGGGCATGATGATGGGCGGATGGGGAATGAGACCATTCGGCATGTGGGGACGATAGAATCAAATCAAATTAAACAACAATTGAATAATCGTTTCGATATGAGATTTGTAGATTGTGTAAATAAAGGGTTTCATTTTTTGCACTTTTTTTTGCATTTTCTATCGACAAGTATCAAAGAGTTGACCCAAAGTTCGATGAAGATTATGCAAAATGACGCTTGTAAGCTGCAGAGACAAGACAAGACTCCAAAAATCATAAAAAAAATCGACATTTTCTCAAAAAAAGATTCAATTTTAATTTGGCTTCACTGTTTTTACGGGGTCTTTCGAAGAAATGTCGATGAAGATTGATACGGAGAGGTTGGCGTTCTATGTTCTGTGGAGTTCTATGCTTGGAGTTCTATGTTTGGAGTTCTATGACTGTTCTTTAGAGTTCTATGACTTTTCTTTGGAGTTCTATGACTCCGTTCTTCAAAATTTTGTATTCAATAAACATTAAGCTTATAATCTACATGCTTTGATTATAAAAATATTACATTATATTTCTTTTGATTACGAAAAAAAATCTTCGCTTTTTAATTAACTAGCCTTTCATCGTTGAAAAACGGGACTACGAGGCTTTTCATCAAGACTTACACCTGATTTTTTTAGTTTTAACTCAATAAGTAAATACATGCTTTGATTGCTTTTACAAAAAGTCACCTATAGTCACCTATAGAGTTCCAAAGAACAGTCATAAGCAATAAAATTGCTGCCGAAATAATCATTTCGGCAGCAAGAACACAATCCAACGAAAATTCGCTTGCAATAACAACTTCAGCCCACCACCCTCGAAAGGCGCGAAAAAGACAAGCTGGCGATCGATCTACATGGCAACTTTGATGATGGCACTTGCTGGTTATTCTTAAAACAATGAACTTTTTGTACAAAATGAACATTTAGGCATCAACATGTCGATCTTTTTTATGGTAAATTTTACGGTGAATTTACTTATGCAACAAATTTTTCTTTAGGCAATCTGGCCCTACATGCAATCGGTGAGAGATTCTCGGTGAAATCATCGTTGAGCCAAAGCATAAAATACAGCATTGAAAATTTTAAAAAAAAGTCACCTATAGTTTTTCTTTTATTTTAGATCACAGAAAGATCGACAATCGAATGGCTGGGGTGGATAATGTCGGGGAACAGCTTGGGATGTCTTTTTGTGAGTTCGAAGACATCACTCCTATAATTGAATATCTTTTGAAATTCTTCAACTTAAATCTCCATTCCTTTTACAAAAAAATGAAATCCTTTCCTTTCTTTAACCTTTCAAAGAATTATTTGAAAATTTGCAATCAAAGAAACAAAGAATTTGCAGAAATCGAAATCCCAATCCTTCTAGGCTAATGTCTCTTTTGGATGGTGGGCTCAAAAAACGATGAAAACCGCTCATCCACTCATTTTCGGTTTCTCGATGGCTGCGATTGGTAAAGTAAATCAGAAATATTTGATTTCAAAAAGTTTTAGGCAATTTGATCTACTCAATTCTGCCGATTTTACCTGAACAGGCAGCTCTTCCATTAATGCTTTTTGGGAGGATTTTGACCGGCTTCTGTACAGGTTAAAGAGATTAACTGAAATCGAGGAAATTCAAGTTTTCTAAAGGCTGTCTGGGCGTTCTTCGCTCATTCGTTGCCATGTGTTCGGCGGTGGAAGATCGCATGAAAGCGATGTCAACGCTTAGCACTGGGTTGACGATTGGATTATCGATTGGGCCGGTCATTCAGGTGAGTGTACACGGGCTGGATTACGGTACCTGTCTGTATGTCTGTCTGTCTGTCTGCCTGCCTGTCTGTCTGTCTGTCTTTCTAAAACAATGACTCTTTTGCCAGATGTGCTTCATGCCGATCGGCTCCGAGGGAATCCGCGTCTTCGGTTTTATTCAACTCAACCAATACACGACTCCCGGTTTCATCATGTTCATCGTTGGGATCATTTGCGTGATTCTCTTGGTGACAATCTTCGAGGAGAATTATGTGGGAATCATTTCAGACGATGAGAAAACAAGTACATCTCATTTCTGCATATGACACTCAAATTGCTCCTAGGCAATCCCTGGTTGGTTATTCCGAAATTCGATCGAGCTCCCGTTCTTGTCATGTTCTATTTGTGGGGACTTTTGATGACAATCGCCACATCGATCTATTGGTATGCGGGGAAAGGTTTTAAAGGGAAAGGCTTACAATTACAATACAAGTCAATATCGATTACATTAACAGTACCGTTCATAGCAGCTCAACCATAACGATTATTCGAAGATCTAAAGCCTAAGGAACCTAGGTAAATACGGTAAAGTGCTCTAGTGTGGCCACTCCGATGAGTATGGAAATGTTCGGATGGAGTAGTGAAGAGGCGGTAATCTACAACGCGGTTCTACAAACCGGCTCGTGTATCTGCTCGGCAGTGACTGCGTTTCTTCTCGGAAGGACAAGACTTGGGAATATGTACGTGGCTCTTGACATTGGTACAATAATACATAAATTTTCGATGTAGTCGAACTAAGATCAAAGATCAAAGCATCTAAGCAGATCTCCATTTTCTAATTTCTTTTTCTAATTCCTCATTTGGTCAGGGATCGCCGTAAACAATTGATCAGTGGTTTTTTGATGTTTTTGCTGATCATGATCCTCTTTTATCCATGGTTTTTCTATCCAGGACCACAGAATGGTATTTTCTTGAGGAATGAGCAAAAATCTAAAAGTTTTACAGAGATCGCTGCCTGCAACTTTGATTGGTGTGCGACAAGGAATAGGTTTTATTTAAAAGAGAACAGGATCCCATTGTTTCAAATTCAGAATCCCATTTTGGGTTTATTGTTTCTCTTTTGTCATCCTTCTTGGAATGGGTTTCCCGCTTTGCATGACTGCACTCAACACAAGACTTTCTGAGATTTTGGGACCAAGGAAACAGGTGAAAGAGAAGGAAAACTTAATGGCACAAGAGTTTTAGAGTTTTGTGCAAGGAATGATGGCATTCACAGGCAGTTTGGTTCAATTCTGGTGTCCAATTCTTGTGGCGTGAGTTGCATTGATCTAGACCGGCTGATGTTCATCTTTTTAATCTTTGATTTAATCTTTTCATCTCTAAAACCAATTTCAGTTTCCTCTACGAAAAGGATGGTTTCCGACCGGTTGCCGTGTTGAATTTCGCGTTGCATTCCGTTGGAATCGTTTTGATCATTTGGGTGTTTGGGAGGATGATTCCATTGGAGATGGAACCACCAATCGGCACACCAACCAAATACAAAAGAGGCACATTTTATCGAATGTGATTTTTGACAATGAAAATTGAGATTATTGTGCATTTGATCAAATCCAGCAACAATATGAGAGTTGATTTCTTGTTCCGCGTCTCGTTTTCCTTTCATCTATCCGGGAGTGGGACAAATGCGACCTTTTTTGCGCACCCGGACATTTGCACACCTTTTTTTCCGCACTCAGCCCATTAGCGCACATTTTTTCGCGTTTTAAAAAAGCTCTAAAAAGTTAATATTAATCAATTTCTATTCCAAATGTTGTTTTTCTAGGTAATTTTAGGGCGTAGAATTCAAATTTTGACATAACAGAGCGTGTGGAACCAATTTGAAAGACAAAACGGCTAGGTCAAACTACAGAAAATTGTTGATTTTTCTCTTTGTATAACTCCGTCCGTTTGTTTCTACAAGCTCTGATATGGCAAAATTTCGATTCTACGCCCTCAAATTACCTAGAAAAAGAACTGTTGGAATAGAAATTGGTTAATATTAGCTTTTAGAGCTTTTTTAAAACGCGAAAAAAGGTGCGCTAATGGGCAAGTGCGGAAAAAAAGGTGCGCAAATGTCCGGGTGCGCAAAAAAAGGTCGCATTTGTCCCACTCCCATCCGAATGATCTCTTTTTGTGGGATTTCTGAATATGTTTTGCTTTAGCAGCAAAAAGATATTCAATCGACTGATTTCTGTAACCAATTGTGTCATTTTCTGTCATTTCTGGTGTCAGATTGCACAATAAACTTTTGCTTTTTGTACATTGTAGACAAAAAAAGCTTTTAACTCTGAAAAAGAGAAGGAATTTATGTAAAACCAGTGAATAGAAAGACAAAATTGAGGAGAGTGACCCGAGAATGAGCCACATTTTGGTGTTTGATGTCATCATATTTTTGAAAAGTGTACCTGATTTTGCACACTATCATGATAAATGCTATTGTATTGATGTTTACAAGAACTTTAAATGGAAACTTTTGACGGCTAGTGCACTGACTTTTTTGCTGGCTTCTGACATGTCCTTTTTTGACTTACAGACACTCCTGATTCAGGGTTGAACGCTAGATGCCGAAAGTTTATCATCAAAGCTTTTTTGATGAAAGTTTCTGAAGCAAAATTTCTAACCATATTGATTTGCAGATGGTTTTAAATATTGATTCAAATTGATTCATTTCATTGATAATGAACTAACGATTAAACTTGAATTGTTTCTTTAAACTTGAAAAACTTGAACAATTGTCAATCAGAAAATCAAATCAGATTGATTCTTGCCAATCAAATTCGCTTCTAGGTAAACAAAATTTGAAAACGGAGTCAACCAGAACTTTCGTTTTCAAGAATGACCGCCATCAAGAACGACGAGATCTGGTAAATAAATAAATAAATGAAATATTTCTTGAAACTTTAGGAAAAGCGAATCAAAAGGTGAGAAACAAACGAATTGGAGAGCGATTTACATAGCCGGTGCAATGTTGGTATTCTCCGGGATTAATCAAAGTATTTTCTACATGCCCGTCTGGCCGTACACGAAATCGGTTTCTTGATTTTAGATTTGATTTTAGATAAAAGAAAAGTCACTTACAATATTCTTTTTTAAACTTCAGAACTTTTTCAGATAGCTCCCGAAACATCGGTCTCGGCACTCGGGTGGATCATTTCAGCCAATAGTCTTGGGTGCTTGATGGTAATTTAAAGAGAAATTTTGAGAAATCCGTAATCAAGTAAAACAATTTTACTTTTTGAGCTAAGTTTCGAGTTGAACCTTGAATCCTGAACTTTAGGCGAACCCTATTTTTGGCTGGTGGTCTCAGAAGAGCATGAAAGCCGCACAACCAGTCACTTTTGCTTTCACCGCCGCCGCTGTAGGTTTGAAGTTTTTTTGGATATTGAAAAAAATACGTAACCTTTAGGCAATCTTTTATACGGTTTATTGCCAATTCTCAATTCTTCTTCGATCATCCCAGCCATGTTAACTGCTCGTTTCCTTTGCGGGATTGGAGCGGGTGAGTGGAGAAGTTGGGGAATGGTTTTTGATTTTTAACTTCATAACTTGATACAAACTTAGGACTTAGCTTTTCCTAGTTTCAACTTTTCTTACTGTAGACAAAAAAGATTGAATTTTAAATTCTAGGCATTCTAGACAATTCAAATTCAAACCTTCTAGGCACTCTCGGAGTGTTGAGATCGTTCGCCGCGACAGCGAGCGCCCCAAAAGATCGTTTACAGGTTAGCGTTGGTTATAGAGCCAATAAATGACTCGGTTCAACGATCTGCGACTGGCTAAGAGCCCTGCATCTTAGTCAGGAGGTGGAGGGTTCAATCCCGCCGGCTAGATTATTGTTTCTAATTCCCATCAATGAGGTTTTTTTCTTTCTTAGCTTTAGGGCTTATGGATTGAGTGTTAGGGGTTGTGCTTTTGTATTGTTTGTACCACATTATTCGTGTGTATAAATGTATTTTTGAATCCGAATTTCAGGCAATTGCCATCTCTTCAGCTGGGCTCACCGCTGGATTATCAGTTGGACCGACGATTCAAGTAAACTTTAAGCATCCATTCTCCGTCAACTTTCTCTAGTTAATGTTCATGCCAATTGGTTCTGTTGGATGGACTTTTTTTGGTGTTCCTTTCAATCAATACACAACTCCTGGATATTTTGTGTGCATTATTTGTCTCATTTGTGTCATTATTTTGCATACGATCTTTGAGGAGAATTATGTTGGGATAATTTCAGACGACGAGAAAGCACGTAAGTGGAAAGAAAAATTGAAAAATTGAGAAAGAAATCATTAGAAAATCCATGGCTAGTGATCCCGAAATTCGATCGAATTCCGGTGGGGATTCTGTTTTTCGTTTGGTCTTGCATGTGCTCGGTGGGAGCCGCTGTGTACTCGTGAGTTCATTGTGTGTTTTCCTCAAACACTACCCGCAAACCGCATCGAAATTATTCAATTCGAGTAAATATGATTAGAGTTGCCTCACCACTAACAATGGCAATGTACGGCTGGTCGTCGGATGAAGCCGTCTCCTATAATGCACTTCTTCAAACGGGCTCTTGTGCCACATCAGGGATCACCTATCTTTTTCTAGCGAAAACGAGATATGGGAAAATGTTTGTTATTGAATTGAGAGCCAATTACAATTATTTTTCAGGGATCGTCGTGCACAGATTTGCCTTGGAATGTCCACTTTTATCATCTATATGCTAGCTGTTTATCCATGGTTTTTCTATGAGGGACCACTCGAATTTGCGAACGCGAATGGTAAAAGAATTTGAATCTCTTTCGAAAACTACTTCGAGAGTTGAATGCGTTTTAGAAAACACAGAGAAACCAATGAAAATGATGATCTAATGATCCGATATTTCAGGCACAACTGGTGGCTGTGCTCTTCATTTCACGTGGTGTTCCACTTACACACGTGTTCCCATTCTTCTGTACTCGATTTGTTTTATTTTGGCTTTAGGTAAAAATAGAAAATCGGCTCTTTAGGAAAAGTTTCAGGAATTGGCTTTCCAACGATTGTCGCTCCATTGAATGCTTTGTTCTCGGAAATTGTTGGACCAAGAAAACAGGTAAGAACTTTATAGCAGGACAATTCGAACTGAACTAAGGCTGGTAAGCCAGACGAGGCCAGGTCTAGTCAGAGGTTAAGTCCAGGGCTCCAGGGCCAGGGTCAGACAGACGACAGTTCCAGGCTTCTGATAGGCTTGGAGATTTTTTTATGAGATAGGCAAAGACAGATCATGCAGTCCTTCTGACCGGCTCTGATTAGTGCAAGTTCAAAAAGCCAAAGAAAGTCATCGCTAACCAAGTCAAGCCAAAGTCAATGACTTTCAATTGACCTTGAACTAGACCTTACTATTGGATTTGGCTTTTTAAGATCGGCTTGAATAGCTCTGGCTCTGCTTGCTACGTTGCCACAAAATATTAGATTTGTTCCAGAGTTTTCTCCAAGGATGGCTCACTTTTTCCGGAAGCACCTGCCAGTTTTTGACACCTCTTTTTGGTAAAATTTAAAATTCTTTCCAAATCACTCAATCCATTTCCAGTTTTGCCCCTTTTCGAGATTTCCGGATTTCGCTGGGTTATCGTGGGCACAATTTTCCTTCACTCTACCGCCATTTTGTTGATATTTTTGTTTAGAAATCGAATGGTTTCGCTGAAAATGAGTCCACCAATTGGAATACCGACGAAATATAAAAGAGGCACTTTTTATAAGATGTAATTAGTGAAATGAGAAGATTTCACGTTGTTTTCTTTTGCATATGATCTCAGTAAATTGTTTATTAAAGCAATTGGATTAAACTCGATAAGTGTTCACATTTTCTTAGATCTTTTATGCGGTTGTTGAAGATGAATCTTTTACGGTTGTTGAAGATGAATCTTTTACGGTTGTTGAAGATGAATCTTTTTCGGTTGCGATCGATATCTGAATAGTTTGTGATAATTGATAAAATAATGGAAATTCGTAGATCAATCTCTAACAATAAGCAAGCACTGGGGGTAGCTGAGTCACACTTTAAGCGCGAAGCCAATTCAACATTTGCATGGAAGCTTTCCACCCGATTGAGTTATTCAATCAACAAAACGTCTTCATCAAGTAAAATCCCAACTAGCTTGCGTTTCTCTCAGCTGATTCGTTTTCTAAAAGACACCTACCTAGTTCCGTAAAAACATTATCTATTGTTGTTAGGTTAAGTGGTTTTTGATCTTGGCCAAACTGGCTTATTCAGTTTTCTAAAAGACATCCTATTTTAGAAAACGGCCGAGAAAACAAAGGTGAAATTAGGTTCGGATTGGAATTTTCCTGTCTAGTAACAACCAGTTTAGACTCGATCAGTTCGATTTTGAAATCATTAACTGTGCCTTGTGATACAAATGACGAATTTTACATGATACAATGATGATATAAATGATATGATCAATGATACAAACTAGGGCTAATTAAATGAAAACTGACTTCGATTACGGTAAATTGGTGCGCTTAGAAAGGATTGTGGAGCATTTGATGCCCCGCCCCTTTTTTATTGTCAATTCAACTTTGAGCTTAAATATCTTGATGTTGGGCTGTCCAATTTAAATAGTTTTTGTACCAATCGACAGAGAAAGACTTGGCGCATCCGATGATATCAAGTATATTTAAATAGAACAGTCCAACACCAAGATATTTGAGCTCGAAGTTAGATTCCTAATGGGAGAAGGGGCGGAACTCGTATCAAATGTCCGAAAGCCTTTAGAAAGTGGATTACTCACGAGGAAACACTCTACCTGTGTAACCTGTGCAGTTGTTGATGATGTATCAATCGGTGTCACCTTTGTCACCTTTGTCACCGTTGTGCTTGATCGTGTCGATACTGAGAGAATTTTTTTTGCGGTTAATTTTCACCAGACAGAATTTATGACTGATTTACGGCTACGGAAGACGGAATTTTTGAGATAACTCTTCTTCTCCTTTCAAAAATGTACCATTATCTCGAAGCAAAGTTCAAAAGAAAAAGTGTCAATGTCATTGATTCAGTTTATGGCATAAAAAAGCTTACTTTTATGCTTTAAAGTTGTGAAATGTTTTTAGATCTTTAGTTAGCTATGGCTTAGTTTTAGTATCATTGAAAAAGGATACTATAGAAGTTTTACACTACAGTTACATAAGCCGATTTGTTCTTCTAGACTATCAGCTTTCTACCGTAATTCAATTTAATTTTTGATACAAAAGAGTTTCACTATGAGTATTGTAAACGAACCAGTTGTGGGAACGGTCTTCGGACTGACTGTCGAATGACTGGCTCCACTCCATGTCCAAGCGAATTTGAAGCTAAAATAATGAAAAAGGTTGCAACGCTTAAACTTAGCAAAAAAACGCCAAGCAAGACCGAGTACAGTACTCGAAAAGGTTTATTGTACTTCGTAGAGCCTCATCCAATTGTTTACCTTGTGATTTGCGTTCCATTTACATCCCTCTCATCGACATCTCCTCCATTGAACTCCTTGATCTCCCAGATTTGGTTAGCGATCAGATTGACTATTGTTCCATAGTAGTGCTGTACACGAAGTTTCACGTAAAAGCCCTAAAAGCGGTTTGTTATCATAGTTGGATTCTTCTCGGAAATCCGAGTCTTTTCATTGTGAAAAACTATCATATGCAAAACCCAAAGCCAATTCGATTCTCTTGGGAATTGGGGAATTAACTGTGCCGGATTTCCGAGAAGAACCGATACTTGTTTTGACTTACAACAAAATTTCCATCAATTGCGATATCCTGTGGATTGTACCATCCTCGGAGTTTCTCCGTCTTGCCAAATTCGATCGATTCGTTGTCTGGCTAAAGTTGGTTTGTTTTTTACAAGTGACGGTATCCAACCCAAACACCCAGCTCAATCCACGGTCCGGTGAGGCAAGTGTCAGCTTTATTTGTTTTACTGAAAATCGTTGCCTTATTAGTTGTATTAGTTGCCTTATTAGTTGCTCAAAAGTGCTCAAAGTGCATTCTTTGGCTGACGGTAACAAGTTTTTGTAGACGAAAGCGTTTGCGTGCATTAGAAAGGGTGCATTTACATCTTTAAGATGCAAGAAAGATGCATTTAAATCTTTAAGCACAAAGTATACTTCAAAGAAAATGGCTCAAAAATGGAAATGCATTCTTTCTTTGCACTTTATTTTCATGATGAATCAAACAGGAAAGATTTGTTTAGCTTTTTAAACCAGAACAGTAACCAGTAAAGTAACCAGAAAAATATATTGTAACAATAACTTATGAGTTAGCTAAATAAATATAAATTGTAAATATAAAATAAAGTAAAAGTATCTAATTAATGAATCAAATGAATGCTTTATCTTGATCTTGACTCACTCTGCAATCCGCTCAATACAAATCGCGACAAGTGGATAGCATTTCACGCCGAATGCCGACAATTTCGAGCATTTCGTCTTTCCATCGTTAAGGAATCCATTTAAATCCAAGGATCTGAGGTGAACAGTCAATTGATAGGCATTCAATAATGTGATAAGCTAAAATTAGTTGAACGATCCTTTCACTGAAATAGACTTACCGCTAGAAAAACGATGACACTCGCTTGTGTTGATCGCATCTCATTGGTGATCTCAAAGAAGCCTATGAACAATTTAAAAACAAAATAATGAAAAAGAGGAAATATTGAATGAAATATTCAAAGGATATCAAGATATTGACAAAGAATCACATTTATTATGGGATTTTAAAAAAGAAATTCTTTTCATTTTTGATGATGGTGTCCGGGTGTTCAGGTCTGAAATTAGACTTGCTCTGTGAGTGATTGTCATTGTCATTGTCATTGTATTGTTGCTATTGTCACTTGCTATTGTCGAATTCTTTAGCAATGGCTTGGTATCAGTAAAAGAAATTTCTTTTAGTGATCGCAAATAGCTCACACAGAAATTCTTAAGTCCAGTAGGTTGTGCTGTTCCCCGATAGATGGCCATTCGTGTCCTCGTGTAGCTCACTCCATTCACGACCGGTGTCGCAATGTTTTGTGTGACGAACTCGATTCCCGAACCTTTTTTCCAGGGGGGAAGGTCTAGATAGCTTTTCTTTAAGTAAAATCTCTTCTACTTACACGGTGATCTTGCAATTGGGATCGAGATCAACTGCTGCCTCGTAATAATGCCCATTGAGGTTTTCGCGACAGTTACCGAACCACCAGCCGCTGAAAAAGTGAATTTTTGCTTTAATCTGCCAATGCTTATTGCTTGCGTAACATTTTTGGAACCTTTGAAACTTTCTATTCAAAACCAATCCCACCCTGATCCTTCCGTGTAATTTGGGCCGTCATAGATGACTTTGCAATACTCATTATCATCGTTATCTTTCCAAGAGTCATATGTGACAAATTTTCGTCTAAATTTTTTTCACTCAATCAAAATTTGTTCTCATACCCAAGATCTGTGCCATAACCGTCCGTGTTATCGGCGTAATTGAGGCCAATGCCGAGGGTGGCTTTTCCAGTCAACACATAGCCAGTGGACGAGTCACTCACCGGAAAAAGCAATGATAAATCTCTATCAGAATATTTGGCTACACCCATTTTTCTCTATCAGAATATTTTTCCAGCGATTTTCGGCTATTTAGGGAATGAGTTTTGAATCAAATCAGGTAGAAGCTAAACCAAAATTGAACTATAAAATGCATCAGTGTTGAGCGCTAGTTGAAAATATATGTAAACGAATAGGAAATTGTACTTATTTTTTTGTTACCTGGACTTCAGTGTAGTACTGCTTGGAGATCGAATTGTCTCCACAGCAAACTTCAATCATCAACGAGTAACTGAAACAAAGATCTTTTTAATAATCTTTTTCTTCCAACCTTTGGTCATTCTTTGCTGTCAATTGATTTATATTATCTAATCCGAGCCAGAAATTGTTCCCCTTGTCCGCGTCTCCAATAGGCTCCTTGTATTTGTCAAAAGTCACATCAAAATCTGTGCTGTCCTTTTCTCCGCGTCTAAATATTCACAAAATGTAAGCAAAAGATTTTTGGGACTAACCCCTGGATATGAGTGAGAGCCACGTTGGAGGCAAACGAGCAATACACCTAAAAGGATTTGTATGTAAAGATGGCTGTGGGGCGGATCTATCTAATCCGATCCATTATCATGTTTATCTTGTCTATTTTTTCCTGAACCTGAACGATTTGACCATTGATGAGAATTGGGTATACTCCATCAGTTTTTGATTCCACCTCTTCACAATCTTTTGCGGTAATCGGGGCTGAAAGCAAAGAGTAGTTATAAAAATTGTGTAGATTCTGCAACCTGACGTCGATGGTGGCTCCTCGGTGGAGGGCTCGGTGGCCGCTGAAAAGTGGGATTTACGATAGCATTCTATCAATCTGCTCAAAGCGTAATGATCAGACTAGCATTTTAACTACTATTCGATCAGTTTATAAATCTCGAAATCAAAAAAATAACTGTATAAACACGAACTCGTATGGGTCGGTGTAGGGGCTTCGGTTGTGGTCGGTGGAGGGGGCGGTGTTGGCAGATTTCCAGTCGCTTTCCATGCCACCGATAACCTGAACTTTTTGTTGGAAATTCGATTTTTGCCACGAACATTGTCGGATCAAGGAGATTTCTCGGATGAGAGAAATACATGAAATTGTTTGGTGTGTTCCCATTGTCGAATTGTTGCTGATAGCTGTCAATGATGGCTCCACCGCGAGCCTCTCGAATCTCGACAAACAACGAGAAACCCTAGAAAGATGAAAACGTTCCAATCATACTGTCGTTTCTAAGCCTTAAATGGAAATTGAAACAGTGATGCATTTAAATTTGCATAATCGTGAGTGGAAATTGATTAGTGGGCCACTTGGATACAAATTCCAGTTAGCTTTTCTCACTCACCGCATAAATTGCATCAATGGAATTATCTGGGAAAACACTCGGGTTTTTCCATCCCCCGTAGATAGTGCCTCCTCCCTAACAAATTAAATCAATTAGTGAAATAAGTCAAAATGGAACTACCGCAAAATCGACGGCATTAGAATTTGATGTCACATTGAAGAGATCGATCGGCGTTGGATTGGGACACGGGTTGCTCACATCCAATGGAACGCCCAAACAAACTCCCAACTGAAGTAGGGATTGGAAAGTGACAAGAAAATGTATCACTAATGGGAGTTCAGCGTTTTCACTCAAGGAACACGTTTTCGAAAACTACTGTAACTTCGAGAACTGACTTTAGTCTTTGTTCAATCCAATCTACTTTTGGCAATGAAGATTCACGAAGGATACTGGACTAGATTTGATAAAAACTACAGGATTACGGTAGTTTTAAAATTTAAAACATTTTAGAAAACGCATTAGGAACATTTTCGCTTAGTTTTTTTAAGTCCAGTTATTCATTCAACCTTCAACTGTAGATTGCATTGATCTCCGAGATTCCACGTGTCCGTGCAATGATCTCCACTTAGCAAATACCCCTGTCCGACATCGAGGCGTCGCAGGTAGATTGTCAAACTGTACTCCCCAAGCACATCCTAGATAAGTACTGTAGTTTAGCCTCCAAACACTTTTCCCTACCCCAAGCAACAACAAAACGATCAATAATCGCATTTGAATAGATTTTAAGCGAAAAATGAATCTACACAGCTGCCCTCTTTTGTATTGGGGAATTTTGTAGAAGGGGAAATGGATAAAAGACAGTGGGATGAATGGGGGAAGGGTGGCTTGTCCCCAAAAGTTGTAAAAGTTCTTATCATTGAGTGAGGGTGTGTCGAATCTCTTGCCTTCTCCTTCCGATATCTACCGATCCGTGTAAATTTATGAGCCTTCAAACGCCATAAAATATTGACAGAACAACCACTGACGCAACCGCAAATTTTCTTTGTTTTAAAAGGGGTGACCCAAAAATTCCCTGACAACTAAAGAATCTGATAATGAACTAAATTGTCAGCGGGTAACTTGATAAAAATTCGTCGACAAGTTCCTTTTCTTTCTTCCAAATCAAACAGCGTCCAAGCCCAATCGTCAGCCTTTCAAGTTTCTCTTTGCCGATTTGACCGTAAAACTAACTATAAAAATCTCATTTATTATTCTTAACAATCAATAAGAATAATATAAGTAAATATCACAAATTTCAAGGCATCACAGAAATTAAACAAAACATAAAGATTAAAAAAATTTAAACCTGAGACACATTAAACATTTTTATTGGGTGGTTGAGTTGCTCGATGCGCAGAAACACAGGTTGGGGCGCAGAATTCAAACGTTGAATAGGTGAATGGCTTGTTTGGTAGAACGCCGCCACACTACAAAAAACTTTGATAAAAGCTTAAAATTTCAGATACCTGATAGCATCGGGCACGTTGAAGGTTTTCCAACACAGCAAGACGAGCTTCAGCCGCTCGCGCTCGTTTTTCTCGATCCGGCAAGGCCAACCACGCTTCTTTTGCTGCCGCTTCCTCTGCAAGTGCCTTCTCTTCAGCCTTTTTCGTTCTTTGATTTTCCTAAATGAAAATTTACAGATATCTACAAACTAAATTAAGATACTTTTTGCCTCGTCTTTTTTAGTTTCCGTTTTTCACGCTCGAGTGCCAATTGCTCTTCGTTTTTCTCAGCCTAAAGAAAAAAAAATACAGTAAAAATTATCAACTACTTTAGGTGTTGGCACAGGAATGTGCGTTGATCGCCAATCAATCCGTGTGTCCTCATTTGAATTAGCGCGAAAATTCATAAAAATAAGGCGAATCGATTTATCAAGTGACATCTAAAAGATTTAAACTTTTATTAATTACAGTAAAAATATCTAACCTGAAAAGGAACATCTCCGTTGTTATTTCTGATCGATAAATTTGAGCAGAGACGTAGGAGATACTAAATAACATTAGAAATTTAGAACTGGGCAGTCAGGTAAGAAAGTAAGACTTCACCTCAAGCGCTTTATGCGAACCATTTGATGCAGAGATATGCATTAACGTATTCCCAAGCGGTGGATAGGCCATCTCGTTGATGAATTGGATGGCTCGTTCACGGTCGCACGGGCATGTTTCCAGAAGTTTCTAGAAAAATGATTGTAATTATGATAATTTAAAGCTTAATAATTACCTGTAAAGTCTCGGGATCGTCATTTCGAACAACCGCGTACACATTCGATTTCCATTGTTTGTCAATCTTAATAAAAACATTATCAGATTAAGTTAAAGAAGAACCAACATCCGAAAATGGATCGAGGACTTCGCGCTCCTCTTTGTCAAATTGGAGATCGGCATTCTAAAACTAAGAATTTGAAGTAAGTTCATTTAAATGGGACCTTTTTCTCTGTTCTTTCTGTTTTTCGCTGCCTTTCGTCATTCTCGTTCTTCTCGTCTTCTTCGCTGTCAATAATATCGTTTAATTTCGTGTCTTTCTTTTTCTTCGTAAGTTGAACGCCCGACTTTTTATTTTGAGCAGCTTTTAACTAAAATGCATATTTTTTTTGAAAAACAACAAAAATTCTTACCTCTTCCATAAATTTTTCATATGTACCATGCTCAAAGACAGAATCAAGCAGGTTATAGGCACGTTTCAACTCATCGATACTTGGCCGCTTGGTTTCAAAGGGAAATGATCTGGAAATTATTGTTTTCTAAAAAATTAAAAATAGAACAAACCTAATTCGTTGATCGTTTTTATCAAACAATCTTTCCGAAAAGAAAGCTTGCCGTTGATAGCTGCCACAACGAATAAATATTAACGGAATCGAAGAAAGTGGTGCTGACCATTCTTTGATTAGACCTTCGATCCCCGTATGTAAAGCACGTTCATTATATCTAAAGAATTCAAGCCAACTTTAAAATATTATTTTTATGTTTACCTTCTCAAAGCTGCTCCAGCCGAGTGAGCCATCCCATTTTTCGAATCATTGGCTGATTGTGCTCCGCCTTAATCGTTCATTTAGCCTTCAATATCAGAAAAAACTGACCTTGTTTAGCGCGAACGGTATATCGATGTATTGTTTTGTGTAGCGTCAAAACACCCCTAGCATATGAATAGTACAACTTCTTCAAAAGTTGAACAAACCTTTTAAAGATACCGCCTGCAAAGTGTCCACCAGCTAACATGAAAATGGCGCAGTCAGTTGTCATTCGGAAAAAATTCGAGTCCAATGGCCTTTCCGGAGAAACAATGCATTTGTAAACGGAAAATACCTAGACACAAATAAATATTGGAATAGATCAAGAGGCAACCTGTCCATCTTGAATGAAGTACTCATGAGTAGAGCCAAGCAAACGATCCAAAAATACATCATCATCGCTATCGGAAGAAAGTGAGGAAACTTCATCTGAAAACAATTTTTAAAAAACAAATTACGAAACTATCCACCTTTTTCGACCTCTTCTTCGTACAATTCTTCAGCTAGAGGTTCTTGTCCCCGTAGCGCCCGAGATGCGTTGTGACGATGCCAATCGCTGCTAAACACCAAATTTAGAAGTCTATCCCATCAAAATTACCGATAATGATCGAGAATCCCTTGTCGCTCCTCGGGAAGTGGAATCCGGCATGATGTGCACGTAGATGTTTCATCTAAAAAAATCAGCATATCACTCCAACCAAAAACATGTGCCAGTTTTTAAGACAGCAAAAAGGTGCAAGACCCCAAAAAATTTACCAAAATTTCGAAATGGGTCGAATTCCTCCACTTGTGACGTCAATTCAACGGAGCTCGTCTGAAAGGGCTCGATCCCTCGTAACCATCGAGTGTCTGCGAGTGTGTAGCTGGCTTTCAGTCGCATTCCTGAAAAAATAACTTGAAGAGTTTGTCAAAAATTGAAAAAAATTCAAGGAAAATGAAAGGAATTGCGGGGAATAAGTGAGAAATTCTTGCTTGTAAAGACCGTGTTCAAAGAAATTATGACTTTTAAGACATTGATTTAAAAATCTGCTAGTTTATACTTGAAGCAATTCATTTGTTATAATGAAAGGGCAATGGTGAAAAGTGGTGCAACAAAAAGTCCCTCCGTTGCCAGTACAGACTAGGGCTAATGACAACGAAGTTATAGACCCCGTTCACCAAATTCTCTCTAGAAATTATGCCTTCCTTTGGTTTAAATTTTGTTTTCCTTTGCAATCTAACAAATTCTAACATTTCAACTTTTTAGTGCTCAACTTGGGTAAAAACAAAGGGTGATGAGCGCCTCTTCTCACCTCATAATCCCTGGAAGGCTGAGTTTCAAATTAAAAGTGAGTTTCTTTTGGCTAATCCTAAATTTCGTTCTTAAATTTAGCAATCACTTCTTGCAAGCAGATGGTTCAGCGGTGGGACGAGTGCAAACAAGCCCATCGAGAAAATACGAAACATTGGTTGGGGATTTCTAACTTTTTTATTTATTCTCTTTAGGAATCTCGGCGCATATCGACTCGGGGAAAACCACCGTCACTGAAAGGATTTTATACTATGCGGGGAAAATTGATTCGATGCACGAGGTGAGTATTTAGCTACAATAATTAAATAAACTTTATGGTTTAAGGTAAAAGGGAAAGATGACGTGGGAGCCACGATGGATTTTATGGAATTGGAGCGACAACGAGGCATCACTATTCAATCAGCCGCCACATACATTGACTGGCATGGAACAAATATAAATATCATCGATACGCCAGGTTGGTCATTTAAAATTTTTGCTTATTTCTCTTATTAATGACGAAATATTATTCTTTTAGGTCACGTTGACTTTACGGTCGAAGTGGAGCGCGCACTTCGAGTGCTTGATGGAGCCGTTTTGGTGTTGTGTGGTGTAGGAGGCGTGCAAAGTCAAACTTTTACCGTCAACCGTCAATTATCTCGGTTATTTTTAGCCAATTTTCTTAGCAAATTTAATTTTTAGCTATAAAGTTCCCTTCATTTGTTTTGTCAATAAAATGGATCGCACTGGGGCTACTCCTTTTCGTGCCGTCGAAGGCCTACGAGGCAAATTAGGGCACAACGCGTCGCTAATTCACTTGCCAATTGGAAAGGTAAGTTCTTCGAAAATTATAATAACGTAATTATTGTTCAGGATTCCGATTTTCGCGGGATCGTAGATTTGATAAACGAGTGTGCTATTTATTATGAAGGAGAAGGTGGACTAACAGTACGAAAAGATGAAATCCCTCAAGATCTACGTGTGCAAGCAAAAAAGATCTACGAGACGAAATGATTGGTGAGGCTAAAATTTTTTAATTATTGGTATGATTATTTTAGAACATATTGCAAACGGCGATGAAGAATTAGGAGAGCTCTTTTTGAATGATGTCAAACCAAATGTTGATCAAATTCACTCAGCTATTCGACGGTAGTATTTTTAAAAAATTACACGTCAACATTTGTTTTAGATCTGTGGTAAAGCGTAGTTTCTTGCCAGTCTTATGTGGTTCTGCTTTAAAAAATAAGGGCGTTCAAACAATGATTGATTCCGTTGTGCGGCACGTTGATTCTTTTTATTTTGGAAAGTCAGTGACCATTTAGTTATCTACCGAATCCAGGCGAAGTAACAAACCTTGCCAGTATCAAAGATGGTGATAAGGAGAAGTCAATTATACTGAATCCTGCTCGAAATAATTCAAATCCGTTTGTCGGGCTTGCTTTTAAATTGGAGGTAAAATAGTTTTAGTAACTGTTTCAAATAACAAAAATTCTGTTTAGGCAGGAAAGTATGGCCAACTAACATATTTCCGAATATATCAAGGACAGCTTTCGCGTGGTGATACGGTTTACGCGAGTAAAGACGGCAGAAAGGTTTTATTGCCGTATTTTTTCATGCTTTTATTTTTTAAAGGTTCGCGTACAAAAATTAGTTCGGATGCATGCTGCGGATATGGAAGAAGTGGAAACCGCTTATGCCGGAGACATTTGCGCCACATTTGGATTAGATTGTCATTCCGGAGAAACGTTTACAAGCATGCCAGAGAACCCGCCACATTGTGTGAGTGATAACCTCTTTATCTTTAAATAAACTCCTGATTTTAGGAATCTATGCATATTCCGGAGCCAGTTATTTCAATGTCAATAAAACCAGTGAATCGTAAGGACGGAGAAAATTTTATTAAGGCGTTGACTCGTTTCACCAAGGAGGATCCGACATTCAAAAGGTTTTTAAAAGTTATGCCTAAGTATTCATTTGCTTTAGGGAATATAACGCAGAGGCAAAAGAAACCGTTGTGAGTGGAATGGGTGAATTGCACTTGGAAATTTATGCTCAACGAATGAAAAGCGAGTTCAATTGTCCGGTTGAATTGGGCAAACCAACTGTGGCCTATCGAGAATCTATTGCGGATCCATACAAGTTTCACTATCGGCACAAAAAGCAAACTGGAGGTAAGGTATCTCGAAATCAAAAATTTTGTTCACTTTTCTTTTGCTAACTAAGAAATTTCAGGACAGGGTCAATTTGGACAAATCGAAGGAGTTCTCGATCCATTACCCCCAGATCAGTAAGCATCTTTTACTTACCTAATTGTATCTACTTGAAATTTAGGAATACCATCGTTAAATTTACCGACGAGTGTTTTGGAAACAGCATCCCAAAAATTTGTTCCCAGCTTTGAAGAAAGGTCTTTGATATGATTACACAGGAAGGCCCGTTAATCAAGCAAAAGTAAGCTATTCGAATTTGTTTACGTTTTGGCAAATGTTTTAGGATTGCTGGTATAAATGTGCGGATACAAGATGGAGAGACACATGCGGTCGATTCTACGGGAAATCGCGATGATTAATACTATGGCAAATATGATGCGTGAAGTTTGAAAGTTGACTTGTTTCCAAAATTCTTATTTTATTTAGGCTTACGAAAGAGCTAACTGGATTTTGCTGGAACCAATTATGAAAGTCGAGGTTACGACGCCCAGTGATTTCAGGTACGGGCATTTTTACTTGCATTCTTCTATTTTTTATTTTAGGGTAGTGTTGTTGCATCTCCACCCAACGAAACGCTTTAATTGTTTCAACGGACTCGCATGGAAGGATACACTACGGTATTTATAGACTTTAACGAGCTTTGGGAACATTGCAATACTTTAGATCGTTTGTGAAACGCCGCTTTCCGATATGTTTGGCTACACGTCTTTGCTACGTTCAGTAACCGAGGGAAAAAGGCGAATTTAGTATGGAGTATTGCCGGTTCGTTTCAAGTAGTTCATTTTTGAAAATTAACTTGAGTAAATAAGAAGCGTTTATTTTTTGTATCATGTTCATTCAGCTATACTCCGACATCAGCAACGACACAAGAAAGTATAATTTCGGCAGTGGAAAGTAGAGCAAGGCCTCATAGATCCAAAGGTCGAGGCGAAAAAGAAAAAGCGCTAAAGCTTTGTGTTAATAATGATCTCACGTGATATTAGTTTAGTTTTTTGTTATTAGGGCTTGGCTAAGCTTATTTTAGCATTTTTTGATTTTTTGTTATTGTTGATTGTTATTTGATTAGGTTTTAATAAATTTATACGCAAAATCTCAAATTTTTTTACCTGTTATCCATCAGGATTTTACTTAATCTGTTACAAATTTTCTCGGGAGGAGACAAATACCAACATTTGTTGATGTTTTGTTGCTTTAGGTTTACGCTTGCAGCGACCGGCGAGCAATGAGTGGTGGAGTTTATGGCGGAGATGAGGTCAGTGGAATCGTTTTTGATGCTGGCTCTCATTCATTTCGTAGGCTTTGCTGGAGAAGAATTGCCAAACGTGAGTTTAACCTATATTTGGCCCGTAAAACACCTACTAGCTAACACATCTGCTCTCAAAACAAAGAATGGTCGGGATGCAACTACATTTTGTTAACAGCAAATTTACCATATTTTTAGTTCGATATACCAATCGGTAGCCGAATCCATGAATACGAAACTAACGACGAGAATTCGATCATGCGAAGAGAGAAAAAGGTTCACATAGGAACTACGAAAGTAAGTTGTCTTAGGTTAACATCAACTTTAAGTCAAATTTTTAAGATGACTGTCCCTCGGTCGAATTGTAGGAAATGAAGAATTTTATGCACGATGGAATGAGTAAGATACCTATGGAGACTTGTTTAAAGGAGAAATTTAGTCGACGATTGGGATCTTTTTGAACAAATGCTCGACTTTGCCTACAAAGATTGTCTTGAACTGAAAGCCAATATCATCCTGTACTATTCTCAGAAAGCGCCGTACGTTTTTGTCTATTTATTTCGGCATTCCCTTGCCTTTTAGTGGAACGAGAAAGCAAAGCGGGAAAAACTTACCGAGTTGATGTTTGAAAGGTACAATGTTCCCGCATTCTTTGTCGTGAAAAATGCAGTTTTGACAGCGTAAGTGTTACTCTTTTGAATTTTTAACTGTGATATTTTTAAGATTTTCAAATGGGCGTACTGCAGGATTGGTCGTGGATAGTGGAGCAACTCAAACATCAGCTGTACCAGTCTTTGATGGATATTGTGTAACTCATGGTAGAGACATACTTTAATTTAAATTTCTATAAAATCTTTTAGCCGTTGTTCAGTAGTCCGATTGGTGGGGATCTCATTTGTGGGCAGATCGAGAAAATGCTGGCTGAACAAAAATTGATCTTGTGCCAACATACAAGATAAAGTCGAAGGTTCGTCTTTTCCCAAAAGGCTTACAACTTTCAATTTAGAGAGGAGGTTAATGAAAATGAACCACCACGCTGGACAGAAAAGAATGGTCTTCCCGAAGTCACGGAGAGTTACGATAAATACATGCGTAAAACAGGTAAAATATTTCCATTATAAAATGTCAAGAACATATACTAGATTGTCGAAGATCTTGCTCAGTCGATACTTCAACTTTGTGATTCACCTACCGATGTTGGGGGAATCGGCGGAAAGCTTCCATCTTCCCATATGGCTTTCCGAATGGCTTCCCACAAAGTTCGTAACATAGAATTCCATTAACAACTCGTTTAGTTATTGAGCTCTAAGTGTAACCTTTTTTATTCTGCCATTTTTAGGAATTTTTGGCCGAACGCATCAAGGTACCTGAAGGCCTTTTGATCTGAAATACCCCTTCGTGATGTGGACAATTCCACGTTGATGAACGTGAGCCAAATTGCTTCGACGGCCTGTGGGATGTGTGATATTGACACCGGACCGGTAACTAAAAAGTGCTTCTAGCAAACGTGTTTTAGAATCTTTATTCCAATGCTGCTCGTCACTGGCGGGAATTCACTTATTCTTGGATTCACCGAACGCTTAAACCACGATTTGGCACACAAATGCCCACCGGTAGTTCTTTGGAGTATGTTTAACTAAAGTTTCTTTAGACTGTGAGACTGCGTTTAAGGCCCACCACCAGCAGAACGCTGCTTTGGACCATGGATTGGAGGATCAATTCTTGCTCAGCGTGGTTAGGCTTCAATTTTCTAATTACCGCTGGCTACTTGTTTGTTTTAGGGAACTTCCAACAAAATGTGGATAAGCAAAGAAGAATACGAGGATGGTGGACGAGGAATTGTTGAGAAGAAATGCCCATGAAGTATGGTTGTGTACTAATTTTTCATGTACTATTTTTATTATTTTTTTACCTTTTTTAACATGTACTTAATTTCTCAATAATATGATTTTTATAATGTATCGTGTTTTAAATTTTGTGTAATTGATTACGATCTCGTGTTTGTCATTATCTCATTTCTTACCTATTTATTGATAAACAATTTCACTTACAAAGCACACTGGGATATGTACGCTTGATTCTGGCAGAAATTTTTGGTACATCTAGTTTCCAATTTATACAGCGTCTGATGCTTATTAAGGAAATGCCTTATTGATCAAAAAGCAACAAACAACGGAAATCCGTCAAAAGATCAACTCTATTTTAAGTTACACGCTTGGAGCGCCCATTCTCAAACCAATAAAAGCAACTTGTTCATGGATGGAAGCTTGCTTGAGACATTTCAAAATACAAAGCACAAGGTAATAAATTTACATTTGTTTGCGTAGTGCCAGATAAAAGTTACTGATGCATCTCACAATTAAATGAATAGGACCGGCATTTGCGGGACGGATGGATAAATTGGGAATGTCCCTGTATGGGCGGAGGAACGCTTTGTTGCACATCGATGTGGTCATCATTTGGTATTTTTAAGTATTTGATCAAGCTTGTAAATTTTAGAAAACTGTACAATGCATGAAAGCGAGTGATGAAAACGATGCAATGGTGAAATGTCCTGAGCAATTCATCGATTGGGCCACTTGTATGCAAAATTTGAATGGTAATTTTTTACATTATGAGTAAAAATGGTGGTTTTTAAGAAAGGCACGAGAAGCGATGAAAGAAATTTACTCGAAGAAAATCGACAAAAAACACCTTCCAAATAGATTTGGATTCGGGAGAATAAATATCTGCTATAGTCTTTTCTTTTAGTGCGTTGAGAGAAATTTTTCATCTCTTCGATCTCTATTTACATTGAAAGTTTGACGATTTCATATTTACAATGTTACGTAAAAGATTGCGACAAAAAGATATCGATGTCTTCATCTTCACAAATAATTTTTCTACCCATTTCGTCGAAAAAAGAGCCAACACCCGCTCATTTGACTCACCCAAAGGAACCAATTGACACCGTTTGTAAGTTTTTATAAGTTTCTGCCTATGAGATTATGGTCTTTACTACCTAGTCTCTCAATTTAACAGAAGGTATACTGTATCAGAATCGATTTTCAGCCTCTGTTCTCCCGGATGGTCGAATCCAACCCCTGAATGTCCATGTCTCTGAATCAGCTTTGGGCTCACAGGTTTACCTGAAAAATCTCTAGATACATAGATTTATAGATGCGGTTTTTGATCCGAGATGCGATCACTTGTTTCAACAATTCGAAGAGTGAGCCAAGAGGTTCAGAGATTTCTATAAGTAGTCATAAGCTTATTGAATCTTTGACGCAAAATGTTCGGAATTAAGAAAAGAAAGTATTTGAACTATAAGAAAAGTATTTGCCTGGGCTCAAATTTAAAAGCTTTGAAAATTCAACCTTACTACATAGTTAGCAAATTCGAATCTCGATGCGTAAATCCTATCCAAATTGCAGGCGCCGAGAGTGAAGAGGAGTTCACAGGCATGCGATGTGTCTCATCAAGAAATGATCTCTCGACGACACTCACTTCATAAGATGAATCACAAAAGAGCTTATCTTCATCATATGTATAAAATTATCGAAAACTTGAAGGGAAAGTTGTAAAAATACAGTAGACCAATCTATCTATCGTAATACTATAATAGATAATGTTCATTGTCACTTATAGCCGTTATTTTAAAAATTGAATTCCGTTTTTAATGCTAAAATGCTAAAGTACCATAAAGAATGGGTTATTTTGTAAAAACATGATATTTCAAAACTTATTGGTGTTTTAAACGTTACGGTAGTTGCCTAGAGGACAAAAATTTCGTTGAACGTTGGACGAATGTCCAAACTAACAAATAAATTTTGCAATTTTTGCAAATTTTCTTTCAACTTTCTTTCAAAGTTGAACTCAAAACTCCGTCCCTTTTATTTTTTTTTTGTCTTTTCTTTCGTTTCTTTTAAGTGTCTGCAGAATATGTGATGAAGGAGAGAATCCGGGAGAATGGGAATTCCCCTTTCCCCAAAGACAATGTCTTTCTTTATTTTTAAATCAGAGAACTTTCAAGATATTCGGTTATTCTTTTTTGGATAAAATATCCATGTGTCTCTTGATACCTATCAACTATTCTCGAAGGAAAACAGATCCTGGAAAGAACCCAATTTTGGGGCAAGATTTCACTCCAATTTATTCACTTAACGATCTTTCTTGGAAGCTTTTTTCTCTCTTTGTTCTCTTCATACATTTTATTATTAAACTAGTTTTGAAAGTTTAAGAAATATAGGTAGTTTTATATTCAGAAACTTTTGCTCTCACAATTGTTTCATCTCTTACAGCCTCACAATTAGTCCACATTTTAGCAACCAGCTTTCCATTTTCTAAAGTGCAATGCTCCTTTGTACTTTAGAAAAGAAAATGCTCTTTGCTAAAATGCAGAAAGTGATTCATTTATCTGATACTTAACGAAAGCCACATCCGGATGTACAGTCATGTCTTTTAACACTCAATTTTCTAAAAAGTTTCATCAATTTTCTTTGATAAAGTTCATGGCGCTCTTTAAGCCATTAATAGTTTTAGTTACACAAATATATGTACAATTTATTTATTCAAACGTCATCCCTATACAACACTTATTCATCGAAAAAGAAATCTAACTATCTCTAAGAAATCTAACTATCAAAACACCCTGAAAATCTTGGTAATCTTGGTGCTATCTTTTAACACAAGACGAAATTAAGTTATAATCAATATTTTCTTGGTCCTCCTTTTGACAAAAAAGTACTTCTTTGATACGAGTAGGGACTTAATTTTTTTTAAACACATTCACGACGACCGTACTAATGACGATTATTTTTGGTGTCAACTCGTTTTTAAGGATTTTGTTATTTATTTCGCAGAAAGTTTTTGGTTGAGAGAAAAAGACTCAGATGGGCTGGCCACGTAGCCAGAAGAACAGACGACAGATGGACGATACGGATCACAGAGTGGCTACCACGAGACCAGAAGAGGCCCATCGGAAGACCAGCAACGAGGTGGAGCACAAGAGTGGCAGAGACGGTCAGAGAAAGGATGGCTAGAGTGCAACCACCACCAGCACAAGCAAGTCGAAGACTTCGAACCAGGAACAATCAAGATAGGAAACACTGGATGACAATAGCAAGGGATAGAGAAATGTGGAAGCAGGTTGTGATCTGCGCAAATAGGAACACCTGAATGCGAAGACAAATAAAAAAAAAAAAGTTTTTGGTAACTTTGTATTAGCTTTCAAGATTCCTTTTTGGAGAATGTATCAAAACTTCTATCAAAACATTCAGGGCTATCAAATCACTATAATAATAGGTTGATGCATAAGTCTTTTTTGTTCCTTTTCGTCTGCCGTTTCAAGCCAACAAATGCACCAATTAAACTACGGTTGATTTCATTAGAAAAACCAATTATTTTTCTGCAAAATAACATTAAAACGGGTTTAAAAATATTTTATGCCTGGATTTTCTTGAGAGTATGAAGTCGGGTAGTCAAAAAGGGCTAACTCGATGATGCGGTTTAGACACCTTAGCTAAAGAAAACCTATCTTCGTGTCAATAGATAAAAGATAGAGAAAAAAAAGTTTGATATTTCGCCAAAATTTCAGAGAAATTCATTCAGCCAATTTTTCCGTAGAGTTTTTATAGATTTTTACGAAAAAGGCGTTTTTCACTCTCGAATTTGCTTCAAAGTGAACCGAAATTGATTTAAAAGATGGAAATTGAACAAAAAACACTTTTTTATAGAGCAAACTATAGATTAATTGGTGAATTTGTTACTTTTAACAGAAGTACAAAAAAAAACGAAAAGACTTATGCATCAACCTAATAGTTTAGTTTATTTTTGAATTTTTATCAAGTTATCAGTAAAACAGTAACGACTACGTGACTGTACGCGAAAAATAGTCGTCGCGAATGTGTTAAAACAAATTTTTCATCTCCTTTTTGATTCTTTCATATTCTTTTTCAATTTCATTTCCACTACTCTCGTCGAGTTGTAAAGCTGATTTTTCTCAAACTCGATTCCTTTTTGGAGAATGAAATCTCAGATAGAAAGAGATCCCCTCAAAAACATCTTTTATATGAGAAAAAGGATATAATTCCGCGAAAAGCGAATAAAATTTTGGATATTGAAGAAAGAAAAGAGGAAATCTATTCAAAAAGAATCATACTCGATTCCCTGACAAAAATCTCTCCAGAAGTTTTGAATAGGCTTTGACGGCATTTTTGACATATCTTGCAGTTCCGCACGTTTTTTTTGAATTTTTGAGGGTTCAGAACACAGTTCAAATCTTGGTTCGATGGTTTTTTTTGATGCTTTTGTAGCAGAACTTAAACCTGACTTTAGCTGGATGTTTGATGTTTGATCTCGACACTGATACTTATTTAGAACATTGATTGGCTTTTTTTGGTGGTTTTTTGTACTCCTTTCACTCATTTTCTGACATTTCGTTACTTTTCTGCGGGTGAAAACGAAAACTTTTGTAATTGGGGTGAAACGAACGGAAAGGGAATCACATGTTGCAAATGAAAAAGCGATTTTTTTTCTTTTTAGAGATCTTTGAGAAAAAATGATGGTATGAGTGGGTTTTCTAAAAGATATTTTTGAACTACCGTATATAAACCGTATGTTTGAATTACTATATCGTATATAAACACTTTTAAGCTAATCACATGATCAGTTCTCATTCAATCAACCAGATTTGGCCACATTTACCAATCACAAGACTCATCCAGTGCTACCAAAGCTCTTCGTAATGTTTTTGTCCACCGCAGCAGTCCTTGTATCAGTTTGAGGGTTTGATGGCGTCTCTTTTCCAATTAAAACTATATGCTATTCCTCAAAATGCCTCGCTTTTTACAAATAATAAGGATGTTCTCTGTGATGTAGTCGCCCTTTTTTGCTATAATGAGGTGAGCAACGCCTCTTCATTGCATCTCCCCCATCGTTTCTTCTCCCAAATCTCCGAAATCACTTCCATCCCATCCCATCGCATTTTTCGTTTTTAAGGAAAACGAGCGGATTACGTGTGTGTGTTTCAATGTGATTAATTTGAGATCGCAAAAATTTTTGATTAAGGGCTTAAGGTCACACGAGACATCAATCAATTTGCAAAGGGAAAAGGGAATTTTCTGAAAATAAATATTACTTAAAAATTCAAGAAAATTTCATCTAGTCATCGGATTTGTGAAAAAAAGTATTTCAATCCGAATGGGGAAACTTTCTAAGAACAAAAATTTTAATTGTAAGTTTGATAAAGAATATAAGTACAAAGATTTCAAAAGAAACATCGGATTGTCTATTTTCTTTTCATTCCCATCAATTACCCGCTCATTGTACTCGTTTTTTTTCAGTAATCTTGTACTAATACCTTGCTCAAAATCATAGATATCATGAAGAAATGATCTTTGCAAAAGTCTGTCTCTACAATTTTTCGCTAAATCATTTTTCGACGAGAAAATCCGGCTAACTAGCAACGAGATTTTTCTGGGATTTGAATAAAAATTAAAAAGGATTCCTGTAGCTACAGTAAACTACAATAGATAATGCTAAATAGAAAAAAACTAATCCATTTTTGAAAGGATTTTTGCTTTGCACTCAAATTTCTCAAGTCACATATCAGTTACATCATTTCCATATAAATTTTCCGGGTTCTTGTACTTCTCCAATAAATTCACCTGTAAAATCTACACTACCAAAGATCCAAAAGAAAACTTTTAATGACTCAATAGCTTTTTTTCTAAAACGAGTTTTCTAAAACGCAACTTAGATAGGCGAGAATTTTTTCACCAGTTTCCACCAGTTCACCTGTTCAAAAATTGCCTTCTTGCCTTCTTGCTTTTTGGTAAAAAAAATCTTTTCTTGCTTTTTTGCTTTATGCAAAGATGAACCCAGCGAACCATATTGAAATTGAATTGGAAAAAAAAGGCTTTTGGACGATCGAATGGGTAACGTCGTAAAGTGGACAAGAATTGGCTCATAAAGGGGAAAGGGGACACGCCCCATAATCGGATATATGTCCAGAGATGGACACAGATGAAAATCGAGAAAAAGTCAAAAAGAAGAAAGCTTTTTTCTCTCTCTCCCTCTCTTTTCTAAAGTGACCCTGTGACTTTCGGAGAATTGAGGAGAAATTGCGAGGGAAAAGAGCACATCTATTTCATTCAACAACACATGCACCTATTTGAGTCAAGCTGTTAATCAAAACTCGAAAGACTCACTGCTATCCGATTCTTGTCTTTGAACTGATCACTTGAGGCATTGGCTTACAATTCGTTACAGTCATTTGTTGGTCATTGGTTTACAATTCATTTGGCATTGGTTTACAATTCCTACGTTGTTTTCATCAATCTCCGAGCGCTAAAAATTGGATTAACCGGATCGTATTCGACTGGTGAATTTGAAATCAAACTAAAGAGTTCACTTATTCAATTTACAATTGAAAACGAAACACAGACAAATTTTGATCAAAAGAAATTCCATCTTGACTACTTCTGAGATCTTCTGAGATCTTCTGAGATC